TAGTAGTTTGTTTAGCAATACGAATATGTCTTACCCAGTTGTAGTAGTTTGTTTTGCAATACGAATATGTCTTACCAGAAGCAGTTGTTTGTTTAGCAATACGAATATGTCTTACCCAGTTGTAGTAGTTTGATTTACAATACGAACATGTCTTACCAGAAGCAGTTGTTTGTTTAGCAATACGAATATGTCTTACCCGGTTGTAGTAGTTTGATGTACAATAGGTATATGTCTTACCCAGTTGTAGTAGTTTGATTTACAATACGAATATGTCTTACCGAGTAGGAGTAGCTTGATTTCTCGTTCAGACTTAGCACCGTCCTCTCGAAGAAGCTTGTCGATTTTCTTGGACTCCTTCGTGGATTCCGCTTGTTCCACAGACATTGTACAACCCATGATGGAAGCAAGGCACGGACGGAGTTCACAATCCACAACCAATTATGACCAATTATGACAAAAAATACCCTAACTAATCCTCACATCCGACGCAAGAACCTTTCATGAAAGATCATCCAATATCGCTTGAAAAACATTCAACATACACGAAAGTCACATTTTATGTAGCCATTATTTGTTCTTTGTATACGCAAACAATCCAATATTCCAATTATTATATAAATTTAATAAAAGAATGAATCCCAGTCATCAAAGATTCTTTTCCGTCTTTTGGAATACAACCATATACTTCACTGTATGTAAACAATAGTCAGATGATACACAAAGCTAAATCCGTGACATGTAGTGACACCCATTACAAACTGGTCGTCCAGAAAACAGTGATAAATTCGACAAATACCGTTAAACTTCCGCAAAACCGGAACTGACGTCATTTCGAGAGCCTTTATTGACTTCATCCGGGATAACGATTGTACTTAAGTACTACAGCTTGGTGGTAGATTTAAGCTGTGATTTTGTTTGTGTGTGAGAGGGAGAGGAGAACACCGTGTTGGATTAATCTGAAGCTGAATCGTAACCTACAATGATATATCAAAGACCTAAAGTAAAGGGACCGCCGACTCCCAGTGGCGGGAAAATATGTTACCGATTTCGCAGTGCCCTCACCGGGTGTCATACAATATCAAGGCCGATAACTCGTACCGTCTATTCGCCATTGGTAAACACTCGAGTGCTGTCGATAGAAATTTTGTTAAGCGTCGATTTCACACAACATGAATTAAACGAACTGTTTGAGGTATGTGTGTTATTCTAATATTATATTCCCACACCTGAAATAGAAAAAAAGCAATACCTAAAGCATTATTCGTGGTCAATAACATAATGTTCACGAAGCAGCCGAGTCGGATTTTTTCAGTTTTTAGTCTGTGGTCACCGGTCAGGTGCCGTTCTGGTGATAACCTCTTGTGAGAACATTCGCCTATTTTGTAAGTCAATACTTGTCCACAATATATTTGTAATCAATGTGCCTTGTATGTATACTATGCTATGCAGTGAGCTGCACCCACATGTACAAGCTGACAAGTACACATGCCGTGATATCAGATGATGGTTCCCTTGTTGACTCACTCTCTGGTTCCGGCCCGGGTCCTGGACAGCAATATTAATATCCTAAACCTTCTTGGACACGTCCCGTGTATACTTTAGGCCATGTTGCTTTATGTTTTCAAAATTAATCATAAGAATAAGAAAGCAGATATTAATAATCAGATTATTGTTTTTATTGCACATAATCTCATAAATTTATAATATGAAATTAACGGTAACAACTTAAATATAACATTTTTGTCTTCTCACTTATTTTTTTATTACATATAGCTTCATACTCAGCCTCTCACAAACATGTGACATCATATAAAATTATAATAATGTAAACAAATGAGTCATTACAATAACAAGTACCGTGTCATTATTTGGAGTAGATAGATATATTTTTTAAATTAAATAAAAACAATTAAATCACGACCACATGTTTACCTATATTACACTTGTCACTGTGCAGTGGATTCCACCTAAATTGCATACAGGTCTGTTAATAACTTAATTGGGTTTTTTTCTTTTATTATTTTAACTTATTTGCATATTTTGGTGTATATTTCTGTTAATAACATATTTCTGTCAATAAAATATTTCTCTTAATTGCATATTTCTGTTAATAAATTCTTTTCGAGGAAAAATATAATAAAATATAGATCTTAACAGCCAGTCAGTGTATTACGGTAATTGCAAATTTCTCATACATTGGCATTATGTGGACTATCCAAAATAAGAAGAATTTTCTGGTTTTGGTGCTCGAGTCTACACAACAAAATTCACCTCTATGTGCTGCAAATAGTCAAATGGCAATTTCAGATATTTTCCACCCGTACAGGGGCGGATCCAGAAATTTTAAAACGGGATAAGGAGGCATACCAGGGCTCGAACCTAAACACTATATTGGTCTATTGCTCTCTGGCGGCCACGCACCACTGAATACCTTGTCCATGCATTATACCACCGAGCCACTGGGACAACCGAAATATTGACTTTTGAAAGTATACATAATTACATATCTGATAAGTGATTTATTAATTGACCTGTGAACAAATTCCTGGTCACTTCTGTATAGTTGCATGTGAACCTTATTATCGCTAAAAGTCAATAATTGTAATATAATGTTGTATTTGCACAGAATTATAAATAACAACATTCCAATTACTTTCTACATGTATCTCTATTATGGCAGGGATTTGAATCAACTACTGATCCTGTCGACGACACCTTGCCCAAAGAAAAAGCGAAAAACATAGTGCAAGTTGATCGTGACCTAGTAAAGAAAGTCATTAACCTCGTCATAGTGGACCCCATTATTCCTGACAGCATTAAGGAGACCATTTAATCAACCGTTATTATTACTGTATACTGGGAAACGTCTGCCCGGTATTAACTTTTGCCCACAATGGTGAACACACCACTAGGACTAGCGTTTGACGACAAAGCAATATTTTATATATATATAGACGATGGCAGTGGGTAAAGAGGTATGGCGGAAAACTGCCCGTATTTCCCTAAGTCGGCATTTATGAAAACGGGAAAAACAATTAAGGAGTAAAGCATTTCGGGTAGCAAAAATGCATACAAAAGATACAAAACCAATTGAATATGAATTTTGAAACTGCTGAGAAATTAGGTATTGCTAATATGATACTGCAAATATAGCCATATACACTATATCTATGAAAGTGATGGGGTTTCCCGGACTTAAAAAATACTTTCAACACTTTCCCATCCGAGGACCAACTTTTGAATAAACTTTTTGTGACCGTGATGTAATTTGCAAAAACAAATCGTATTACGGAAAAGTGGTCCTCCTTTGGGAAAGTGCTCAAAGTAATGAAAAACAGGGCTGATCCAGTTTCTCTAAACTGCGACCGGTGTTTCTCGGGTTAAATAAGTTTGTAATTGCCAATATTTATATGTTCTATGTAGCCGAATATGTAACGCAGTTTACTTGCGACTAGAAAATAAACGGTGCAGGTTCGAATCCTCCTTCAATTTTTTTTTTATTTTTTTTTAAATATTTAGGCATGTGATCATTTTCCTTAATAGTGAGTTTTTTAAATCGATGGAAAATGTTGTTTTCATTTTAATAACATATCTATTGATTTATCGTCACATATGGACAAATGTACCACCACGATAACTCACATAGACAACATATGCATGTATCATAACGTCAACACATATGGAAACATGTACCACCACGATAACTCGCATAGACAACATATACATGTATCATAACATCAACACATATGGGCAAATATACCACCACGATAACTCACATTGACAACATATACATGTATCATAACATCAACACATATGGACAAATATACCACCATGATAACAGACATGGACAACATATACATGTATCATAACGTCAACACATATGGACAAATGTACCGCCTCGATAACAGACATGGACAACATAAACATGTATCATAACGTCATCACATATGGACACATGTACCGCCTCGATAACTCACATAGACAACATATACATGTATCATAACGTCAACACATATGGACAAATGTACCCCCTCGATAACCTTTCCGTTTTTTAAACTAGTCCATCCCTATAGAAGTAGTCACGTGATGTTTTGGTGTACTAAAATCACGTGACCTGTGCAGAAAAATTTTCCATGCTGACATTTTGAAGAATCTCCTTAAAAAATCAGTTACCCTCCTCCTCCCCTAATTTGTATCCACCTTTATGTACTATTGTGAAAAAATGTAATTGTTGCACATCTTCTTTTTAAATTTTGTTTCATTGTTGTAAATCTTTTAATTACAAATGCAGAGCGTTTATTTTGAAGCAAGCCCCATCTTTTTTGGTTCTTTGTACATCTTATTATAAAAATCAACACAAAGATGTATACATATAATTGATTTCTGGCACTTAGAATAAATGCTCATTTTGGACAATTTAAGTGTTTGTTATTTTATCGACAAAAAACATAGCAGAGTATAACCTGTGTGTGCTGTTGGCTTTAGGGCAAACTAAACACGATAATATAAGGACAAATATACCGCCTCGATAAATTACATGGACAATATATACATGTATCATAACGTCGTCACATATGGACAAATGTACCACCTCGATAACTCACATAGACAACATATACATGTATCATAACGTCAACACATATGGAAAAATGTACCACCACGATAACTCACATAGACAAAATATACATGTATCATAACGTCAACACATATGGACAAATGTACCGCCTCGATAACAGACATTGACAACGTATACATGTATCATAACATCAACACATATGGACAAATGTACCGCTTCGATAACTGACATGGACAACATATACATGTATCATAACGTCAACACATATGGACAAATGTACCACCACGATAACAGACATGGACAACATATACATGTATCATAACGTCAACACATATGGACAAATGTACCACCACGATAACTCGCATAGACAACATATACATGTATCATAACGTCGTCACATATGGACACATGTACCAAAACGATAACTCACATTGACAACATATACATGTATCATAACGTAGTCACATATGGACAAATGTACCGCCTCGATAACAGACATGGACAACATATACATGTATCATAAAGTCAACACATATGGACAAATGTACCACCTCGATAACGCACATGGACAACATATACATGTATTATAACGTCAACACATATGGACAAATGTACCACCTCGATAACGCACATGGACAACATATACATGTATTATAACGTCAACACATATGGACAAATGTACCGCCTCGATAACTCACATGGACAACATATACATGTATCATAACGTCAACACATATGGAGAAATGCACAACCACGATAACAGACGTGGACAACATATACATGTATCCTAACTTCAACACATATGGAGAAATGCACAACCACGATAACAGACGTGGGCAACATATACATGTATCATAACGTCAACACATATGGAAAAATGTACCACCTCGATAACTCAAATGGACAACATATACATGTATCATAACGTCAACACATATGGACACATGTACCGCCTCGATAACTGACATTGACAACATATATATGTATCATAACGTCAACACATATGGACACATGTACCGCCTCTATAACTGACATTGACAACATATACATGTATCATAACATCAACACATATGGACAAATGTACCACCACGATAACAGACATGGACAACATATACATGTATCATAAAGTCAACACATATGGACAAATGTACCACCTCGATAACTGACATGGACAACATATACATGTATCATAACGTCAACAAATA